CGCTGACCCTGCACTGTGGCTTCGAGGACTGCCGCAAGCCTCCCTCACCCATCCTAAGTTTGATGAGGAGGCGCTGGAGGGGAGGGAGGTTCGGTTTGGTGAGTTGGGGGACTGGGAGGAGTGCACGTTCGAAAGAGAGGTCCATATTTTCGGCGACGGCTCGGGAGGTGAGCATTCTGCGGGCCCTCGCCGTCGCCGATGTGGATCAGCCATTGTAGCTTTGCAGCAGCGCGACGGGGAGTGGGAAGTTGGTCGAGCCTTAGCTGTCCCACTCCTTGGTCGCAGGCAAACAGTTCCCCGATCGGAGATCTTAGCTTTTGCGCTGGCGCTTGAAGACCACAAGACGGTCGCAAAAACCTGGAAGTTTCGTTTTGAGCACCCGAGAGCCACTGGCCCATGCGAGGACCTGTGGACCCATGCGAGAGCCGCCTGGCGGGCCCACCCAGATCGAGTGGTTAAGGTAGTGTGGACGGCCTCGCATCTCGACGAGGCGCCAGAATTGCTAGACTCCCCGCATCAGCAGTTCTGGCGGCAGGCAATTTAGTAGCTGATGTCTGGGCGGGAGTCGGGGCGGAGTTGGCGTGGGAGTTCGGGCTGGTGGGGGAGGAACCTGACACTGACAGGATTGACTCGACTGCGCACCTGGTCCGCAAGCGAGCTCGACGGGCGCTCATGCTGGCCGCCTCGTCAGAGACGGGAGAGCGCGCTGGCAGGGCCCCCGTATTCAAGAAGCTTTCCAAGCAGGAGAAAGCGATAAGAGATTCGCCCCACCAGCTTGAGCGAGTAGGTAGTAAGTGGAGGTGCCCTCAGTGCGAGCTGATCGTTCCTGGATGCAGGTTTTTGCGCTTTTCTGTTTCGTCGCGTGCTGGCCCCCCCTGGGGAAAGCGCCCCTGGGGCTCCCGAGTTCACGCCGCTGAACGGAGTGGACCTGGAAATCCACCCGTCCCACGCGATCACGTTCGTCGATCGCTGGTTCTTGAAGATTTGCTCCCTCCGCGGGATGTATGCCACAGTGGACTCGAGGTCCCTGCGGAAGAAGTGCGCGGGTCTCACGCCGAACGGCGCTGAGAACATGCGCAGAATTGAACAAGGCGTGTTTCCTCGGCGGGAAGGCCCCCCAAGAGCCATCAAGATGGCTATGGCTCGGAGGGATGGATGTCGCGTCGTGTCGGCCCATGAGGCCAGGGAGGAGGTGCACCGCGAGCATGAGGGGCCCCCCGCCGAGCCCCCATGCGTGACCCGTGCCCGCGACGACGGGCAAGAGCAGGAGAGGCTGCGCGTGGCCAAGGAGCTTCGGGCGCAGGGGATCATTCAGAGACTGCTGGCAGCGGCCCGTGGGCCGCAGGTTGGAGACCAACGGGTCCCGCAGGGGGATTCAGACACTTCTGACCCACCGCAGCAGGCATGATGAAGGACGGGGTGTGGACTGTGTCCTAGAGCAAAGAGGTCAAAGAGATCCTCCTTTTTCTCCTCCTTCTGCTACTGCTCCTGCTCCTCCTCCTCATCCGTTGTCCTCCTCCTCCTCTTCCGAACCGCCCAAAATCATTCGTTTCCTTTGCGAAAACTTGTATTTTTAACATATCCGATTTTTTGGCTTTCGCGGCGCTGACGACGACCCCAGAGGCCCCCATTATTGTCCCAAGACGGCCCGGGCGCCCGGGGCCCGGGCCACGGGGGGGCATGGGAGGACCAGGGCCTTTGGCCCCCCCCTCCCCCCGAGACAGCCCCTGACAGCCTCGAAACGCCACCCTAGGATCCCAGGAGGTCTACAAACGTCCAAGAGGACCCAGAATCTCCGAATCGTCGCTCCAAGACGCCGAAGATGGCTCCAAGACGGCCTCTGGGAACCCCCACGACGGCCCAAGATTTCCCCAATAGGATTCCCAATAGCGCCTCCAGAAGCAAAAGTGGCCCCATTCCCATAGGACAACGTGCATTTTTACCATATTCACATCTCCGGCGTCGACCGCGTCGAAGACGGCCCTAGGAGCCCACAACATCGCCCCAAGACGGCCGAAGAGAGTTCCAAGAGGCCCCCAAGACAGCTCCAGAGGAGCCCTCGATTATCCAGAAGGGCCCTCGATTATCCAGCTCCCAAGACGGTCCCAGAGGGTCCCGGGCGGCCTTTGGGGCCCCCCCGGGACAGCCCCAGACAGCCCCGAAACCGAAACGCCACCCGAGAGTCCCAGGAGGTCTCCAAACGTCCAAGAGGGCCCAGAATCCCCGAATCGTCGCTCCAACACGTCGAAGATGGCTCCAAGACGGCTTCTGGGAACCCCCACGACGGCCCAAGATTTCCCCAATAGGACTCCCAAGAGCGCCTCCAGAAGCAAAAGTGGCCCCATTCCCATAGCAAAACAACGTGCATTTTTACAATGTTCACCGAATCGGCGTGGACCGCGTCGAAGATGGCCCCAGGAGCTGACAAAACCGCCCCACGACGGCCAAAGAGAGTTCCAATAGGCCTGCAAGACAGCTCCAGAGGAGCCACTCGAGAATCCCAGGAGGTCTCCAAACGTCCAGGAGGGCCCAGAATCCCCGAATCGTCGCTCCGAGACGCCGGAGATGGCTCCAAGACGGCCTCTGGGAGCTCCAACGACGGCCGAAGAGTCCCCCAAGAGGACTCCCAAGAGCGCCTCCAGAAGCAAAAGTGGCCCCATTCCCTTAGGTAAATGTGCACTTTTCTGATGTTCACCGCTTCGGCGTCGGCCGCGTCGAAGACAGTCCCAGGAGCCGACAAGTTCGCCCCAAGACGGCCAAAGAGAGTTCCCAGAGGCTTCCAAGACGGCTTCACGTGGGCCCTCGACTGTCCAGGAGGCCCCCAAGTCGGTCCCAGAGGGCTCCAGGGGGCCTTTGGGCCCCTCCAAAGACAGCCACAGACCCGAGACTCCCAGGAGGTCTCCAAACGTCCAAGAGGGCCCAGAATCCCCGAATCGTCGCTAAGAGGGCCCAGAATCTCAGAATCGTCGCTCCAACACGCCGAAGATGGCTCCAAGACGGCCTCCGAGAGCCCCCACGACCGCCCAAGAGTCCCCCAAGAGGACTCCCAAGAGCGCCTCCAGAAGCAAAAGTGGCCCCATTCCCTTAGGTAAATGTGCACTTTTCTGATGTTCACCGCTTCGGCGTCGACCGCGTCGAAGACGGTCCCAGGAGCTGACAAGATCGCCCCAAGACGGCCAAAGAGAGTTCCCAGAGGCTTCAATGCGGCTGAAGGGGAGCCCACGACTGTCCAGGAGGCCCCCAAGTCGGTCCCAGAGGGCCCCGGGGGGCCTCTGGGGCCCCCCCGAGACAGCCGCAGACAGCCCCGAAACGCCACTTGAAAGTCTCAGGAGGTCTCCAAACGTCCAAGAGGTCCCAGAATCCCCGAATCGTCGCTCCAACACGTCGAAGATGGCACCAAGACGGCTTCTGGGAGCCCCCACGGTGGCCCAAGACGAGCCACCCGCGCAAGAGGCTCCGGCGCCCGGGGCCGGGGCCCCGAGCGCGCATGGGGGGACCGGGGGCTCCGAGACCGCTCCCAGAGCACCCCGGAGGGGCCGTGGAGCCCCAGACTGCCCCAGACGCTCCCAAGAAGCTCCAAGACGCTCCCAGCCCGGGGGGACTTCGACCAGCCCCTCCAAGACAGCCCAGAAAGCCCCAACGTGGCCCAAGATGGGCTCCAGACCGCAAATGCACAGCCCAAGAGGCCTCCAAGAGGCCTCGAGCGAGTTCCGAGATGCGCCCCGAGAGATCCCGAAGAAGCCCACATCCTTGATTTCCATTGCTTTTATATTTTTTTCGGTGTCTCGCGCTTTCGAGCTTCCAACGCTCCACGACGGCCGACGACGCCCCCAAGACCGTCGAAGATGCCCCCAACAGAGCCCCAAGACGGGCTCAGGGAGCCCGAAAATTGCCTGGG